TGCTAGTAGGACATAAGGTGAAGTCATCAAGAATTCTCAACAGAAAAGTAACAGCAGACAATACACACTGAGTTCTCTGTGCAAAACCCTGTTTTAGGATTATTGGGCTGGAAGAGGTTTAGAAAAGACACTGGAGACAGGGAGACTAGCTTAAACATTGTTAAAATACAAAGTGAGACCACAAAGTAACAATTTTCTTCCTTGGCTCCTAGAAGCAGAAGAGGAGTGATAACAAAAAGGGTGGGTTACGACATCTCTAAGTGCAGCAGCCGGTCACTCCATCGTCTGATGCTGCCACTGTGCAAAGACACATAAGGTTGTTTCTCACTGACATCAAAGCGAGCAACTCATTCTTTAGAGCAAAGAAAATCAGATTTTGATTAAGTTTAATAAATCTACAAATGAGACACTACCTATTAAAAGAAACGATAGCTACCAAATAGAGGGAAAAACAAACTTCTGATCAGCACAGAAAGTTCAAAGGAAGTAAAGGCAGATACCTAGAACGACACCTCATGCTCCTGTTTACTTACCCACTGAGCGATGTAAATGCTGCCGGGAGATCTGGGCTGACGAAAGCTTCAGAGGGCCCAGGAAAATAAACAGCAGAGGCTGCTGATCCTTAAAGGAAACTTTACCTGCCTGTTTTGTTTTTCTTTCACTTTATTCCTTTTTACAAAAATATATAAGCCTTCACTAATTTGCATACAATTCCCCTTTGGGGACCATGCGAATCCACTCTCCTTCCAGTCTGGGTACATAAGAAGCCAAAGGAAGCAGAAAGCAATGCATTTTTTGAGGAAAATTTTCAGAATCGTTTGAAAATAAAATGATAAAAGTATAAAACTCCAAAACAGTTGAGATCTAAGAATATGCAAGTCAAAATTCTAAGAGGAAAGAATGTTTACTTTGGGGCCAGCCTGGAGGCGTAGTGATTAAGTTCGCACGCTCTGCTTCGCGGCCCAGGCTTTATGGATCTGGATCCCGGGTGTGGACCTACACTCCATGCATCAAGCCAAGCTGTGGCGGCATCCCACATACAAAATACTGAAAGACTGGCACAGATATTTGCTTAGGGCCAATCTTCCTCACCAAAGAAATAAATAAATTTAAAAATAAAGAATGTTTACTTCATTGCCACCAAAGATCAAAAATACAGAAATCATTCCACGAGATTGGTTATACAGAAATTCTGAGACCCTGGAGAGACTCTGTACAAAGGAAAAAGCGCAAAAGGCAAAGTAGACCATTCCTCTCACGGAACTAAAGCTTGCCTTGAATCACATGGGTGTTTCAGGGACCCTCAAGCCTTGAACTTGGCTTAAAGAGGTCCGAGCACCTAGCAAGAGGAAACGTAAGTCTTCTCTGGAAGACAGCACCTTCGTCCTGGCCCTCAAATTATTCTACAAATACAGTCATGTGTCACACGACAAGGTGTTGGTCAATGACAGACCACCTATACGACGGTCATCCCATAAGATTAGTACCATACAGCCTAGGTGTGTGGCAGCTACACCATCTAGGCTTGTGCAAGTGCACTTCATGATGTTCGCACAACGATGAAATCGCCTAACAACGCATTTCTCAGAACATATCCCGGTCGTTAAGCGGCACATGACTGTACTTTTCATTATTAATGAGCAGTACACAGGGAAATTAGATTTCACAAGTAATAATCAGCAGAAACAACAAACAGAAATAGGTCCTTAGAGACTTCAGAAATTGAAACACAGATTACAAAAACACTATGCTTACTATACTTAAAGAAGTAAAAGGCTAGTTTGAAAATAACTGCAAAGAAAGCTATCAAAAAATTACATAGCAGCTTTTAAAAATAAAGTACAATTTCTGGAAATCAGGGCCGGCCCCGGGGCCGAGTGGTTAAGTTCACACGCTCCGCTGTGGTGACCCAGGGTTTCGCTGGTTCGGATCCTGGGCGCGGACATGGCACTGCTCATCAGGCCATGCTGAGGCGGCGTCCCACATGCCACAAGTAGAAAGACCCACAACTAAAAAAATATACAACTATGCTGGAGGAATTTGGGGAGAAAAAGCAGAAAAAAAAAAAAAGAAGATTGGCAACAGTTGTTAGCTCAGGTGCCAATCTTTAAAAAAAAAAAAAGAATTTCTGGAAATTAAAAATGTAATAACAAAAGATTTAAAACCAAGGGAAGGTTTAAGAGCAAATCAGACTCAAATGAAAAGAGAATGAGGAACTGGTAGGTCAAAAAAAATTACTCATAATGCAGCACAGAAACAAAAAGAAGATACAGAAGAGATTAAAAAAAAAAAACAAACAGACAGAAAGGATAAAATGAGAAGGTTTAACACTTAGCCGGAGTACCAGAAGGAGAGGAGAGACAGCAGGGAGCAAACGCAGTATCTGGAGATTCCCAGTAGGAGCTGGGAATGTTCCAGAACTGATGAAAAATACCAAACCACAGTTTCAACAAGTCCAATGAAACCCAGGCCAGATAAATAAAAAGGAATTCATACTTAGACACATGGCAGTTAACTGTAGAAAATCAAGACAAAAATAAAACCTTAAAAGATAGCAGTGGGAAGTGGTAATGGCAGAAGTGGTGAGACAGAAGCCCACAGAATTACTGTAAAAGGGCTCTGGCCATTGGAAATAATGAACTCCAGGATTTAAGTAATTCTCTACACTCTGCTTTATTCCAAAAAGAATTCAAGGCAGCTTATCAAGATCCATATAATGAAATCCAATAAAATAAATTTAAAGTGACGTAAATAACACAAAGAGGAACGGAAGAGGAAAGCAAGCTGGATGCAGTACTAAGAGTCATTCCCAAAATGCATGCTATAAATTCCTCTTTGCTTTCTAGGGGGAACCACAGATTTGGCATTAAGCATTTCGGCACCCACACAAAAAGGGAAACAGTCAATTAACCAGATTTTCTGTAAAAACCAACTAGTCTTGCAAGGAAAACAACTACTCCTAAAGGAGATGATAATTAGTAATGATAATAAACAACATTTGCAACATCCTCTTACGATAAATAGAGGGACACATTTTACAGGACCAAAGTATAATTAGCAAATGCAAGTTGAGAGGGAAGACCGAGGAATACCAATATGATGTAGTCAAGAGGGGGGGCTCAACCCAAGGGGACGTTCCTAAGGGAAGGGATGGCCTGCATACGCTTTAGAAAATCTTTAATACGCAAGTATTTGTCTCAGTCAAGCTTCTGAAAGTAGTGGCTTTAAGAGTCTGCTGACAAGAACCTAGGTGCACCTGTTCTGTGTGGGTCACTAGGTACAGAGCCACATACTAAACGATCCACTAAGCCAGGGGCCTGATAACAGACTTGTGAAAACTGAGAAATCAGACATCATTCTGTCTCAACTCAAAGGACTCAGCTCCAGAATGTTCTTTAATCAGTCTTGTTACTCAACAAAGCAGAAGAAATGGCTCTACAATCTAGAAGCGGCTTTAACCGAAAAGAAATGCGGTTTAACTGGCAGTCATACCAAAAGAAAAGTCCGAAGGCCTTGGTACAACTGATTAGGTTGGCAGAAAGGAGTCAAAGATGCCTACAAAGTTGGGAATGAGGGAGAATGGGGGCACTATAACAGAAAAAGTGGGCAGACATGTTTTGGAGGAAATAGAACACCTCAGTTTTAGACAAAATGTTTGAGTTTGAATACGTGAATGGAAATGTCTAGAAGACATTTTCTAGGATTTTCTTTTCTTTTTGGGGGGCTGGGGCCGGGGCGGGGCGGGGCAGGGTAAGGAAGATTATCCCTGAGCTAACAACTGTGCTAATCTTTCTCTATCTTGTATGTGGGACCCCACCACAGCATGGCTTGACAAGTGGTGTGTAGGTCCATGCCCAGGATCCAAACCTGTGAAGCCCAGGCCACCGAGGCGGAACATGCAAACCTAACCACTACTCCATGGGGCTGGCCCCTCTAGGATTTTCTAGAACTGCATGACTAAAGCTCAGGAAAGGGGTTAGGGATAGACCTAAAAATCCAGAAATCTGTACGTGGAGATAATAACTGAAGTCACTGAGTAGTTCTAATTCCCAAACTACCAAAATCCCTTTTCCTCAAACCACTGCCTTAATGCAAACAAAAGAACTGGCTCCCATAAGAAGCGATGCCACCTGAAAGAGGTACACAGCCACAATATAAAAAGCAAGTTCAAAAAGTGATCCAGTGCACAGGGAGAGCACCCAATACAGCCACACAGAGTCTGACTCAGAAAGATAAATGTACAGATCTACACCCCATCACTAGCAATTAGAACAGAATGACACTGTATGGCTTACACACAGAGAATGATATAATTTCTTTCTTCTTTTTTTTTGGTGAGGAAGATTGGCTCTGAGCTAACATCTGTTGCCAATCTTCCTCTTTCTGCTTGAGGAAGATTGTCACCGAGCTAACATCTGTGCCAATCCTCCTCTATTTTGTATGTGGATGAGCAGTATGTAGGTCCATGACTGGGATCTGAACCTGTGAACCCCAGGCCACCGAAGCAGAGCGCAGGAACTTAACCACTTTGCAACTGGGCTGGCCCCAAGAATGATACAATTTCTCTACAAAGTAAATACTACCCACTCTCCATTTTATATTTAAGAACACACAGGTACATTCTGTTTACAGGATCAGAATTTCCTAAGAATTATCAACTTAGGTACATGGGGATTTATATCTCTGAAATTTTCCACATTGAAAGATTCTTTTAACTTTAAAAAAATCCCCTAAGACTTCTCAGGAGTGAAGACGTTATCTTTGTGTCTTTGAGCCGCTGAAGGCAACCTTCACGTGATAGAAGAGGCAGAAAGGACATGGCAGTTTCTTCCTCAAAAGAAAGACATGATTAAGGATACCCAAAAAGATTCCTAACTTCTAGCAGAAGAGGCAAGAGTAGAGGAGACGTAGTCTTCAGAGACACAGTTGGACCGGAGTGGAATAGAGGGACTGTGGTAGCTTAACAATAAATTGAAGAAAAGTGAAAAAAATAAACTTACTCTTTTCAATGAGCTGGTCTTGAACTCCTGCCAACGCACTTACTGCCTAAAAAAAAACACCAGTTACTAGAAAAGTTATCACAGCCCTCAGGAGAGCACGCGCAGGCAGAACAGAAAGAGAAAACGCACGGAAATTTATCTGAGCTCCTCCTCAACGGTGGGCCACAGAGAGCGCCCCATCACTTACAGCTGCCGAGGTGACCGAAGATTTACTGAAGAGCCGCTCAGCCTCCTTGAACTTCCGGTTCCTTCGATCGTTTTTGCTATTGGAGTTTCTAAAACACACACAAGAAACTCACTATAAGCACCAAGCTGAGTCCAGGGCTCAAGCTGAAGATGCTCCAGGGCAAATGCAAGGAACTCTTTTTCCTTTTCCTTTTTATTACCAAGCTCCATACAGAAATGCCTCCATCCCACTTGGATTGCCCGAAACACCCTTTACCCTGAACGTCTATGGAGACAGCCCCGTTCTCCAGCGCAGGATACGTGCCCCCCGGGGTACAAGTGATTACCTTAATTGGTTCACAATTGCTTTCATTTTAATTGTATTCATTTTAATGCTCATTATTAAAAACCACTAGCGCAGACTAGTGATAGGAAGCGTCTCTGTTAAAATTTAAACAAAGAACCAGGGTTCCTTGGAGAAGCTGCTGCTATCAGTTCTGGCACAAGAAAAGGACAAAGTGACAGAAAGCAAGCAAGTGCTCAGACTCATAGGGTCACGTCAAAAGGACAAAGGAATCAGCTTGAGGAGGCTCCCCTTGGCCAAGTTTGGGACAAACGAAGCATCAAAAAGGATAATGATGGGTGTGTTTGCTTTGTGAAAAGTCACTGAACTGCTTATTTGTGACTCGCGCACTTCTCTGAATGGTCATGGGCCACATAACATTTCCGTCAAGGACACACCGCATATAGGACGGTGGTCCCATAAGACTACCACCACGTGGCCTGGGTGTGCAGTAAGCTATCCGATCCAGGTTGGTGCAAGGGCACTCTATGACTCAAAATGATGGAATCGCCCAGTGACACATTTCTCAGAACTTATCCCTTTTGTTAAGCGACACATGACTGTATATATTTCAATAAATTAATTTATACTAAAAAATAACATAAACCTCTACAATAAAAAAGTGACAGTCCTAGATCCTAACACACTGTTTTTTAAAGAATCCCTGAGTCTACAGTGATAGTAAAGAGAGACAGAGAGTGAAAGGGAGAGAAGGGCAAAAGGGAAGACTCTCCTTTCAGAATGCCAGTAATAAATGCAAAAGCAAGAGTAAAATTAGAATCACAATTTTGCAACCTCCAGTAAAATAAGTGATTCAGACAAGAATCAACAATAGATGCTAAAAACAGTGATAAAAATTTCGGGGGAGCAGTATGTTCACACTGTCCAAAACTGTAACCTCCAAAACTACTTTTTAGTTACAAAGAGGAAAAAAAAGCAACTTTTATAATGGAGAAATCACAGGCTCAAACTTAACAGCACCAATAATGGGACAATCCAACATTATGTGCCTTCTGAGAAAATAGAGGGAAACAAGTCACTAATGCGACATTTTTGCCAAAAATTTAAATAGGATCTCTTATGAGGTCACAATAAGAAAAATTCAGGGGGACCGGCCCCATGGCCCGAATGGTTAGGTTCGTGCACTCCGCTTCGGTGGCCTAGGGTTTCGCCAGCTCAGATTCTGGGTGCAGACACGGCACTACTCATCAAGTCACGCTGAGGCGGCATCCCACCTAGAAGGACCCACTAGAAGGACCCACAACTAAAAATACACACCTATGTACCTAGGGGGCTTTGGGAGAAAAAGGAAAAGTAAAATCTTAAAAAAAAAAAAAAAAAAGAAAAAAGAAAAAATCAGGTACTGGAACATTCTACAAGACAATGTCATAAACAACAACTTCACCACCAATAAGAGTAGGAGACTCTCCTAGATTAAGAGACTAAAGAGACGTAACAGGCAAATGCAATGCACGAATGCTAAGGGATCAAAATAAGGAAGCAAAGCCTTTTGGGGACAATTAGGGAAATGTGAATAAAGACTGCGTATTAGATGATGGTATTAGTGATAATTTTCTAGGTATGATAACTGTGGTTAGGTAAGAAAAATGTTCTTATTCTTAGGAGGGAAGAGCTGACATAATAGGGGCACTGTCATGATATACCTGCTTTAAACTTTTACATGGTTTAGGGGGAAAAACAAGTGTGGGGAAATGGGAGAGAGAACCACAAAGGGGTGGCCTGAGGGAGCTCTCTGTGGTGCTGGAATAGCTCTGCGTCTTGACTGCAGTGGTGGTTACAGGAATCCACACACACGATAAAATGACAGAACTACATGTACACATTGTATCCATGTCAATTTCCCAGGTTTGATACTGTACTATAGTTACATAAAACCCAACCATCGGGAAAAACTGGGGTGAAGGGGACACGAGACCTCTCTCTACTATTTTTGCCACTTCGTATGTATCTATAATGATTTCAAAATTTTCAAAAAGTGTAAACATAGATGAGTGTCTTTATGCATATTATAGAGAGAGGAAAAGAAAAGAGAGAGAGAAAGCAAATATGGCAACAAGTTAACAATTGGTGAGTGCCCTTTAAGGGTATCAAATGTTCCTGTACTATTCTTTCGATTTTTCTACAGATTTGAAAATTTCAAACAATTTAGCGAGTTCTCAAGTATGATATTACTAAATAAACAGTGGTACAGGTGGCACACAGGTATGGCAAATATTGTGAGGGGGGAACTCATGACGGATTAAAATGTGAAAGACTCAAATAAGAGAGCTGCTGTGTAAAGTATTATACGTTGCACTTCATTTAGGTCTCACGCAACCCCGAGCCACAGGCTGGACTTTCCCTATTTCACTGATGTCAGATTTGTCCAGGATCACTCAGTGAGGCAGTGGCTGAGCCCGAGGCCAAGTTCAAGCCCAGACCTCTTTCCACACCACCGCTTTACTGGTGCCTCCCCGCAAACTTGCTAGCAAGAACATATATATCCTTAAAACAAATATTACTAGGGAACAACACAAACACTGTAGGCTTCTGACACTCACTTCTGGTTGGTCAGATACCGATCCCAGCCACGGATAATGTTGCCATACATCTGAGTGTCTTCCAGGTAGCTTCCTTCAAAAGCATAGATCTGTCTCTCCAAGTTTGCCAGTGTTTCCTGAGAGATGAAAAACATGGCAAACGGGTAATGCCTTTTAAATACAAACATTAACTCTGACCAAACCGAAAACTCAAGCTCAACGACACTAAACCACCGTTGTGGAGAGATGGAGGACATGGGGAGGGGCAAGCTGCTCCAGAAGAAGACAGTCTACCCCTGTTTGCTGGATCCCTTTGAGAACAGAAAGGGATAGAGAGAGCCGATCCCCGGAAAAATGTAGACTCATGCAAAATTTTGCATACATTTCAGAGGGTTCGTGGAAACCCAGCTGTCAAGAACCCCGGCTGAGGCAGAACGTGAGCAGTCTCCACTCCCACGCATACAAGGTGCCGCCACCGGGGAGAAGGCAGGGCGCGCAGCCTCCAGCGCCAACGCACTCCCCTCCCCGCAGGCTCAGAGAGGCCGCCTGCGCTGGGCTGCCAGTTGCCATGGAAACGTGGAAGGGCAGCTTCAGGTGAGACGCGCCTCCCCACGCCCAAGCCAAAATGCGGGGGGCAGGGAGGGCTTGGCCACCAGAGTGCTTGGGACCCTGGCTGCATGTCACGATTCACAATCCCCTACACTGAGTCCGCTCCCCTCGCCTGTCACCTTCTAGATGCTCCCAAACGCATCACATCCCTGCCCATCAAAACACCCATCCAACGGATCTACTCCTAGTCCCCAAAAGGACATGCGCCCCTCCATCCTCCAAAGGCCAGATTGGATAACAAGGTGCCCCTCCCACCCACGCCTGCTGCCCCACCCTCCCCAAAGCCCACCCGCAAGCCCGACCCGATCTCCTGCAGCCCGCCGACACGCCCGCCCGCACCCCGCGGAGATCGCGCCCCGCTCGCTCTCGCCCACCCCGCAGAGCTCACGGACACTCGCCTTTCCCGGCTCCCACCCCGACCCGCACCCCAGGCGCCATCCCGCCCCCACGCCCCTCCCCCCGGCTCCGCGCCCGCCCCCGCCCCGGCTCGCCCGGCTCGCCCGGCTCCAGCGCCGGCTCCGCCCCGCCGGGAAGCCGAGGCGCCGGCGGGCCGCGGAATGCGCAGCCCGGCCTCGGGCCCCGGACTCCGGGCCGCCGCGCTGCGCCCGCGGGGTAACGGCCCTGCGCGGCGGGCCGGGGCCGGGCGGCGGGGCGGGCGCGGGCCCCCGGGCGCTCCAGGGCCAGAGCCTCACCGCCAGCTCCTGCTTCCGCTTCACGAGCTCCGCCAGCTCCCGCCGGGTGTCCGGGATCTGCGGCGGCGCCGCCTTGTTGTGCATCGCCATGTTGGGCTCAGGCAGGCGGCGGCGCGCCGGGCTTGGGGCGGGCCCTGCGCGCCGCCGCCCGCCAGGGGGCGCCCGCGCCGCACTGCGCCTGCGCGCCGGCTTCCGGGGCCGCGCCGCGCCGCGCGCTGGGCCTCGGGTTCGCGCGCCTGGCAGAAGGGTCCCCGGTGGTGGCGTTCTGCTCTTGGTCCTAGATGACCTCCGCCCCTGGGTGGAAGTCTGTGCTCTACAGACACCACGAATTCACCGTGTCCAAAACCAGACTCCTCCTGAGTCGCCTCTGTGAATGACTTTCACTGTCCACCGAGTTGCCCAAGTCAGAAACCTGAGTATCATCCTTACTCCCCCTCACGCCCTGAACCCCATCCAAAGCCAAGTCCGGTGGACTCGACTCCAGAAGCCCGCAGATCCATTTGCTTTTGTCGGCCACTCCCCTCGTTCATCCTGTCCCTCCCCATTTTTGGTTACATTATTCTGACAGCCTCCTGTTTCCACTCTTAGCTCCGTTTAATCCATTATCCACAGTGGTGCTAGACGATTTGCTTTTGGAAAAGGCACTGTAGGTGGTGTCACTCCCTGGTTAAAAACTTTCAATGGCTTCCCATTGCCCTTTAGAGAGACAAGCATGTGTAGTGGTTAAGGACACAAACTGGAGCCAGAACTGCCTTGTTCAAAATCCTGCCTCTACCATTGATAAGCTGTGCCACCTTGGGCAGGTAACTAAATTTCACCTGTCTCAACTTCCTCATCTGTAAAATGAAAGTAATGATAGTACCCACCTAATAGAATTGCTATGAGAAGTAAATCACTTAATGTAGAGGCTTGGGAAGTAATAAGGACTGTTAAGCATTAGCTTTTATCTTTAAGTCCATCATCGTTAGCTTTATTTTCATTTCGCCCTCGCTTACTGCTCCAGCCTCAGCTGTCTCCATTTTTCGGGGTTCTGCAATTTCGCTATCATCAATGGGAGTTTTTTTTTCATTTTTCCTTTTTTTTGCCTTCCTCACTTGGATGTCTTTCATTTTCTACAATCTGTGGACTGGTATCTTTCACCAGTTCTGGGAAATTCTCAGCTATTTTTCTTCAGACATGCCTCTGTCTTATTTTCTCTCCTTCTGGAACCCAGATTAAACATAGTAATCCTTTATTTTTTTATCCATTGTCTTTTTTCCATCTTTTTGTCTCTCATGCATGCTGGATCATTAATTTTGTGTGTTGACCTTGTAACCTGGGATCTTGCTGACCCCCCTTATTAATTCTGGGGGGGGGGGAATTTTGTAGATTCCTTGGGTTTTTTTAATGTAGACAATCATTTCAACTGCAAATAGGGAGGTTTATTTTTTCCTTTCTAATCTGTATGCTTTTTATTTCCTTTTATTGCCTTACTCTCCTGGCTAGGACTTCCAGTTCTATGTTGAGTGAGAGTAGTCAGAACGGACATCTTTGACTTGTTGCCTCTCTTAGGAGGAAAGTATTCAGTCTTTTACCATTAAGTATGATGTTAGTTGGAGGGTTTTTGCAGATGTTCTTTATCAAGTTGTGGAAATTCCCCTCTATTCCTGGTTTACTGACAATTTTTATCATGAGAGGGCATTGAATTTTGTCAAGTGCTTTTTTTGCATCAATTCACATGATCATGATTTTTCTTCTCGACCTTCTTGATACAGTGGATTAATTCATTTCCAAGTGTTGAACCAGCCTTGCATATCTAGAATAAACCCTACTTGGCCATGTTGTGTAATTCTTTTTATCTAGTCCTGGATTCAAATTGCTAATATTTTATTGGGAATTTTTGTGGCTAAGTTCATGGGATATTGGTCTGTAGTTTCCCTTTTTTTGTACTCTCCTTTCTGGTTTTGATATCAAAGTGATACTGGTCTCATAAAATGAGTTAGGAGGTGTTCTCTGCTTTTCTGATTTCTGGAAGAGATCGTACAGAATGGTGCTAATTCTTGAAATGTTTGGTGGAATTCTTCAGTGAAACCATCACCATCTGGGCCTGTATATTTCTTTTTGGAAGATTTTTAATGACACATTAAATAATTATAGGACTATTCAGATGATCTTTTTCATATCAGGAGAATTTTGGTAGTTTATGGTTTTCTTGTTTTCTTGGGGAAGATTGGCCCTGAGCTAACATCCGTGCCCATCTTCCTCTACTTTATATGTGGGATGCCTGCCACAGATGGCTTGATAAGCAGTGGGTAGGTCCACACCCGGGATCCAAACCAGCGAACCCCTGGCTGCAGAAATGGAGCAGGTGAACTTAACCGCTATGCCACTGAGCCAGCCCCTAGTTTGTGTTTTTTGAGAAATCGGTTTTTATCGTTTTAGCTAAGTTGTTAAATTCATGTGCATGGATAATTTCCTTTTTTTTTCAAAGATTGACACCTGAGCTAACAACTATTGCCAATCTTCTTTTTTTTTTTTCTGCTTTTTCTCCCCAAATCCCCCCAGTACATAGTTGCATATTTTAGTTGTGGGTTCTTCTAGTTGTAGCATGTGGGATGCCACCTCAGCATGGCCTGATGAGTGGTGCCATGTCCACACCCAGGATCTGAACCAGGGAAACCCTGGGCTGCCGAAGCAGAGGGCGTGCACTTAACCACTTGGCCAAGGGGCCAGCCCCGATAATTTCTTTTGATCTATCTTCTGGGTCACTAATTCTCCCTGAAGCTTCTGCTAAAGCCATCCATTGATGGGTTTACAGTTATTGTATTTTTCATTTCTAAAAGTTTTAGTTGTTCTTTTAAATAACTCCCATTTCACTTGTTGCCATTTCTTGTTCCCTGTGCGTATTTTCAAATTTGTCATTTATTTCTTTGAAAATAGGAGCCACGAACATTTTATAGTATCTTATAATGCAAGTATGTGAAGTCTTTGAGAATCAGTTTCTGTTATCTATTTCTATTGGTTCTCACCTACAGTGCCTTTTCTTGTGTGCTTTAAAGAAATAATTGTATCTTTGCAGAAAAAAATGTGGAAATAACTGGGGGGGAGAAAAAAAGTACCTTCCTCCAAAGAGAAATTTTGTTTATTTCTATGAGACACCTGGAGACACTAATAGTACAGGGTCATCTTAAACCAAGTTCACGGCTTGAGTTTTCTGGAGCGCCCTGGCTGCAAATCCCTGGGAGGACTCGATTTCCTTTTTTTTTTTTTTAGGAAGATCAGCCCTGAGCTAACATCTGACGCCAATCTTCCACTTTTTGCTGAGGAAGACTGGCCCTGAGCTAACATCTGTGCCCATCCTCCTCTACTTTATGCATGGGATGCCTACCACAGCATGGCGTGCCAAGTGGTGCCACGTCCGCACCCGGGATCTGAACCGGTGAACCCCGGGGTTGCTGAAGCGGAACGTGTAAACTTAACCGCTGCGCCACCGGGCCAGCCCCTAGGATTCGATTTCTGATCCACTCTTTTCTTCTGAAAAGTATAGCCCTTGGGCATGCCCACTTCTTGTGGGAAGCACTTCTATTAGTCTACCCATTGTTTATGGGCTTTGAGTTTTGATTTCTGTCCCATTCAACCTAGAGTAAGGGCTGATTTGCTAGAATCAAATACGGTTTGCCTTTAGATGAAATGTGGTTTCCAGACATCATTGCTCCATTTCTCTCTGGATTCTTATTTATCTTCACTTTTGGCCTGATAACTTTTTTACTAATTTGTCCGTTCTTGGATGCTTTAAGAAATTTTTTGGCTTATATTTTATCCAGAAGTTTTGGCTGTTTTCAGGAGGAGTCAGAAAAATAACGTTGTCCATCATTATGAGAAACCAGAAGGCTCACTCACCCCCTTTCCCCTACGAGGGTTTCCCAAGCCTCATTAGTTGATCACCTTGGCGTTTCTAGGGGCTAGTCTCTCTGCCTAGGAACATTCCTCTTTCCTCTTCCCTCATTCCCTCTTTCCTCATCAGTGACCCCTCATAATCATTAAATCATGGTCATGTTAATTAATGCAGAAAAAGCATTTGACAAAATTCAGTAGGATTTGTTAAATCCTATTTCTCCGTGCTTCCACAATCCCAGTGCTTCTCCTATCTAGCACTGTCTCTATTGCTCTGGGAGGGCCGGACCTTGTACATCTCAGGACTGTAAGAGGCAGTATATCATGGTGGTTAAGAATGTGGCATCTGGAACCAGAGTGACTGAGTTTGAATCCCGGTCTGACCTACCACTCTGTGACCTTAACCTCTCTGTGCCTCAGTTTTTGCATCTGCAAAGCGGAGTGATAATACAAGCCTGCCTCATAGGGTTGTGAGGATGAAATAAGTTAGTGTATGCATTAGTGCTCATGTAAAATGCTTAAAACTGTGCCTTGTCCATAGAAAGTCCTCCTAAGTATCAGCCAGTTTTATCATTGAGGTCTCGGTTCACAGCACTTCTTAGGCACCCGATTATTGAATGTCTA